GTAGGGGGCCAGTTAGGATGGGGGGAGGGTCTCAGGAGGGGGCAGTCAGGGGACAAGAGGCAGGGAGGCTTAGGTAGGGGGTGGAGTCCTGGGGGGCAGTTAGGGGCAGGGGTCCCAGGAGGGGGCAGTCAGGGGACAAGGAACTGGGGGGAGGGTTGGGGGTTCTGAGGGGGGGCAGGAAGTGGGAGGGGCAGGGGCGGGGCTAGGGCAGGACGGGGGCGGGGCTCCTCCCGTCCTCTTTTTTGCTTGCTGAAATATGGTAACCCTAACTTAGACCATTTTGCATTTACATTATCTAAGACTGATACTACTCACAAGCGTATAAAGAAATCTAGATAGTCAAGCCATGCATATGGAAAGCTGAAAGTATGAAAATCATATCCAACCCAGAGAAGAAGGGTAGAGCACAAGAAAACAGAAGATGACTCCAAGTTGAGGCAGCCATAAAAGCATTCCAAGAGATAATAGCTCCCTCCCCCTCACACACACCAAGGGGCAAACTGGTATTGCTATGAAGAGGGACAATAGGTGAGGAGACAGAAAACATTATTTGCTTCAAGTGGTGCTTACTCTCCCTCTTCAGAGCTGAAAGATTCTGTTCTTACTTCATATTAGAAGCTACAGTAAATTTACAGGATTCAGCACATTACACGCTCAGGAAGTAAGACGACAGAGCAAAGTGGGTAGAGCTTATGTTTACATTGGGAAGTGCGATAGTGGTCTTCCCTCCTCTTTCCAGGTAGGTAGAATCATAGCAAAACAATGCTGCTTTTATTCTAGAAGGCAGAAGAGGACTGATATTCTAGCTTTAAATTACTCTTAGCAGTATTACTGAGTTTAACTCAAATCCAATTCCATAATCCTCCAGAAGTTTCACTGTACCTTCCTATATAATACGAAGCCTCAGTCGACATTCTGCCTAAAGGTAGGTGTCATGTCAGGTATGGAATATAGGCAACATACTCTAGGGTTGTCCGACAGTTTGTACCATTCAGGAACGTGCTTTTAACAGTCTCTTGTCTTGGACCCATAATCCATAGTTCTATCTGATGATGTGACTGTTTGCAAATATAAAAAGAAATAAATAGCCAGAAATAGAATTTCCATGTTTCCAAACAGAGATGGATGCAAAAATATATTTGATCTTATACCAAGTGGAACTTGCAGCCTATTGTAAAAAGGTAGTCAACATTTAAATTTTAATTTAAAAATCTGGAAAATGGAACTATATTGTAGCAAATTTGATCTTGTAGCAAATTTTTTAAACATGTAACTACTCAAATTATAAAGCTAAAGACAGTTAAAAGTACCCAATTTTATTCAACTCATTATGTATTGCAAATTCCCAGAATTAGCTCTTTGAGAAAAGGTACATAATATATTTATCTTCTCCTCTCAAATGAAAATTTGATATTCCCCCCCTCAGAACTGTTTCAGTAGAAGCCGGAGTCTTGAGTAGCCCAGTTAGGTGCCTAAAAATATATAAAACAAAAAATTAAGGATCAGTAGGAAAAGAGGAAGCTGTTTGTTTACATGAGCCACTGAAAAGTTAACAGCATATACTATATTATTTGTAATAACTTTTTAAAATAACCTATTCATAAAGTTAGATGGTTGCTTCTGTAAATACCATCCACCAGGAATCAGTTTAATAATTAGTCGTCAAGTCATAATACATGGATAAATGAACTGCTTAAACGTTTATCAGCACCACAGTGTTTAATAGTGATTCACTTCTCCATACAATATTTTTAAAGTTAAAGTAAACCTGTTGTGACATTCTTGTTCTATTAACACAGTTACATTGCCAAAGATTTTTCCTTGGTTCAGAAAGGCAGGAAACGGAAAGTATTTCTGAACCGTCCTGAAGTGTCTCAAAGTAACAAATAATTTGACACTATTTACAAAATTGTGTTACTTGACCTTTTACACGATTTTCTACAGTATTAAACAAATCTACCTTAGTTTGTCAGAATGGTCCCTTCAGTATATTTTCAGCCTTAGTGACAAATGCCAATTAAAATTTTAATATTTTGTATTTTTTTAGCTTTAGTAGGAATTTTGGAAAAATCTGTTTATCTATGGGTTTTCTCCAGAACATAACCATATCATGTAAGAATGTCCCAAGTAAATTAAAATCAATATAGCACGATCCCTGGTGGACCTCGAGTCTTCTGCTTTTCTCTCTTCCTTCAACATAAGAGGCTTGGGAGCATAGACACTGGCTTCCTCCTTTCCCCGGGGGTGCTCAAGGAAGTTTTTGTAAAGTGTAGGGGACAATTTCCTGGTGCAAGTGCTGGAGGAACCAACTAGGGGCAGAGCTCTTCTTGACCTGTTGCTCACAAACTGGGAAGAATTAGTAGGGGAAGCAAAAGTGGATGGGAACCTGGGAGGCAGTGACCATGAGATGGTCAAGTTCAGGATTCTGACACCAGGAAGAAAGGAGAGCAGCAGAATATGGACCCTGGACTTCAGAAAAGCAGACTGTGACTCCCTCAGGAAACTGATGGAAAGGATCCCCTGGGAGAATAACATGAGGGGGAAAGGAGTCCAGGAGAGCTGTCTGTATTTTAAAGAATCCTTATTGAGGTTGCAGGAACAAACCATCCTGATGTTTAGAAAGAATAGTAAATATGGCAGGCGACCAGCTTGGCTTAACAGTTAAATCCTTGCTGATCTTAAAAACAAAAAAAGAAGCTTACAAGAAGTGGAAGACTGGACAAATGAGCAGGGAGAAGTATAAAAATATTGCTTAGGCATGCAGGAGTGAAATCAGGAAGGTCAAATCACATTTGGAGTTGCAGCTAGCAAGATATGTTAAGAGTAACAAGAAGGGTTTCTTCAAGTATGTTAGCAACAAGAAGAAAGTCAAGGAAAGTGTGGGCCCCTTACTGAATGAGGGAGGCAACCTAGTGACAGAGGATGTGGAAAAAGCTAATGAACTCAACGCTTTTTTTGCCTCTGTCTTCACGAACAAAGTCAGCTCCCATACTGCTGCACTGGGCAGCACAGCATGGGGAGGAGGTGACCAGCCCTCTGTGGAGAAAGAAGTGGTTCAGGACTATTTAGAAGAGCTGGACAAGCATAAGTCCATGGGACTGGATGTGCTGCATTTGACAGTGCTAAAGGAGTTGGCGTATGTGATTGCAGTATTTCTGAAAACTCCTGGCGATTGGGGGAGGTCCCGGATGACTGGAAAAAGGCTAATGTAGTGCATCTTTAAAAAAGGGAAGGAGGAGGATCTGGGGAACTACAGGCCATTCAGCCTCACCTCAGTCCCTGGAAAAATCATGGAGCAGGTCCTCAAGGAATCAATTCTGAAGCACTTAGAGGAGAGGAAAGTGATCAGGAACAGTCAGCATGGATTCATCAAGGGCAAGTCATGCCTGACTAACCAAATTGCCTTCTATGACAAGATAACTGGCTCTGTGGATGAGGGGAAAGCAGTGGACGTGTTATTCCTGGACTTTAGCAAAGCTTTTGATACAGTCTCCCACAGTAATTTTGCCGGCAAGTTAAAGAAGTATGGGCTGGATAAATGGACTATAAGGTGGACAGAAAGCTGGCTAGATCGCCGGGTTCAACGGGTAGTGATCAATGGCTCCATGTCTAGTTGGCAGCCAGTATCAAGTGGAGTGCCCCAAGGGTTGGTCCTGGGGCCGGTTTTGTTCAATATCTTCATTAATGATCTAGAGGATGGTGTGGAGTGCACCCTCAGAAAGTTTGCAGAAGACACTAAACTGGGAGGAGTGGTAGATACGCTCGAGGGTAGAGATAGGATACAGAGGGATCTAGACAAATCAGAGGATTGGGCCAAAAGAAATCTGATGAGGTTCAAAAAGGACAAGTGCAAAGTCCTGCACTTAGGACGGAAGAATCCCATGCACTGCTACAGACTAGGGACCGAATGGCTAGGCAGTAGTTCTGCAGAAAAAGACCTAGGGGTTACAGTGGATGAGAAGCTGGATATAAGTCAACAGTGTGCCCTTGTTGCCAAGAAGGCTAATGGCATTTTGGGCTGTATAAGTAGGGGCATTGCCAGCAGATCGAGGGACATGATCATTGCCCTATATTCGACATTGGTGAGGCCTTATCTGGAGTACTGTGTCCAGTTTTGGGCCCCACACTACAAGAAGGATGTGGAAAAATTGGAAAGAGTCCAGCGGAGGGCAATAAAAATGATTAGGGGGACACATGACTTATGAGGAGAGTCTGAGGAACTGGGATTATTTAGTCTGCAGAAGAGAAGAATGAGGGGAGAGATTTGATAGCTGCGTTCAACTACCTGAAAGGGGGTTTCCAAAGACGATGGATCTAGACTGTTCTCAGTGGTACCAGATGACAGAACAAGGAGTAATGGTCTCAAGTTGCAGGTAGGGGGGGGGCGGGGGGGGGGCGTTTAGGTTAGATATTAGAAAAACTTTTTCACTAGGAGGGTGGTGAGGCACTGGAATGGGTTACCTAGGGAGGTGGTGCAATCTCCTTCCTAAGAGGTTTTTAAGGTCAGGCTTGACAAAGCCCTGGCTGGGGCGATTTAGTTGGGGATTGGTCCTGCTTTGAGCAGAACGTTGGACTAGATGACCTGCTGAGGTCCCTTCCAACCCTGATATTCTATGATTCTAACCCCCACTCAGCCCCAGGCCCCACCCCTACACCACCCCTTCCCCAAGGCCCCACACCCACCAGTTGACTGCAGTGGGTGGGAGGCGCTGGGAGGGAGAGGGAGGAGTTGATCGGCGGGGCCACTGGCAGGTGGTGGTGGTGGTGGTGGGGGGAATGGGAAGAAAGCTGGCTGCCAGTGGATGTTAGGCACCCGGTAATTTTTTTCTGTGGGCTGGCGCACCTATGGAGGCGGTGCCTATGCTTGGGAGGTCAAGAGAGTGTCAAGATAGTTAAGCCCATCAATAAAACCTCTAGTCCTTAATTAAACTGATTCAGACTGAGTCCTAGAATTTTACACAACCATTCAATTTCCATGTTTTAACATCAGTCTCATTTTTTCTTCAGGTGCATGGTTGCCCACAGATTAAGGGAGGTTTGTATTCCAACCATATCAATTTAGGGTATGTCTACACAGTGCAGTCTGACACCTGTGGCTGGCCCGCAACAGCTGACTTGACCCTCCCACCTTGCAAGGTCCTAGAGCACGGGCTCCAACCAGAGCCTGGACTTCTATATTGCAAATAAGCAGACCTCTAGCCTGAGCCCGAGTCAGCTAGCATGGGCCAGCCGTGAGTTTTTAATTGTAGTGTAGATATACCTTGACTGACTAAAGTGTCCACCAAGCAAAAGCAGGAGTTACTAAAGAACTGGCACCTCCAGTATGGTAGCAAATAATATCACACAACCAGGATGACATTGCTAACTCAGTGTATAAATATATTTAGGTTAGCATAAATCCACCCTTTTTCATGTGAGATAGATGCTTCTGTAATGCCACATCAGGAATCAATTCATGGGGAATAGGCAATTCATTAAAGTACAAGAGGGCATTGTTAAATGAGGACGAGAACCAAAACAGAGAATGGAAAGAGGGATATGGAACTATGTGAGGGGTGAAAGGAAGAGCTAGAAGAATAAAGTAGGGATATAAGATGAAAGAAAGCAGGAACTATTGCCCACTTGTAAACTCATGGCAACAAAATAAATTCTTTTCAATTTAATTCCAGTGCCACAGAGCAGTTAAAAATGTCCCTGAGGGAGTGAGAAGCAAAGATTATATAGTGTGCGTTTGTTTAGTAGCAATAACAAAAGTCTGTAGTCTTCTCTCCAAGTTAAATGAGGATATGGAAATACAGACACATGTAACTGGTACTTACCTCAGCCCTACTGCTCTGGTTCAATTTTTTCTCAGTGTTCATAGCTAGCATCTGACTCCGGAAAGACAGGCTTTTGGTCTTTTCTATCACTTGTTGGTAGGGTGAGACCGCATTGTTACCCATAACTACATGGCCCTAGAAATTAAATCGAAAAAAAACAGCTCATGAGGAATCATACTTTAATTTACCAAATATGCAAAAAACATTTAACCACTCAAAAGTGATAAGAAATGCCAAAATTAAGGTTGTACACAATTAACTCTGCCCCAACGCACACATGTTCAAGTGGAGAGTATTTCTCAGATCCAAAGCAGGTTTAATACAATTGTCTAAATCATTTTTTTTGTTCTTGTATACTTACACTAGAGAGTTGTACAATTCACTGCTTATGTAGGCCAAGTTCATCGCACACATCAGGTACTACTTACACCATTTCATTCTACCCACAAGCTCTTTTGTCCCACTCTCACCCATCCCCCTCTATTTCAGAGCTGCTGGCATGGCGGCAGATGTATGTGGGGGAGGGAGAAATGGAGAGAGTGCCCCTCCCATGGAGAGGAGCGTTTGCAAGGAGTCGCCAAAATAGAAGGGAATAAGGAGGTAGGCAGAAGAGCTCTGGGCCAGCTTTTCAAATCCTCAGCACCCATCATAATTGTGACCAGATTATCAAAAGACCTCAGCTCTCATTTAGGCACCCAAATAAGGGCCAGATTTTCAAAGTCACTCAGCATCCAGAAGCTTCTTAGTGGGATTGTGACATCAAAGGCAAATCAGCCAATCAGCCTGAGTTTAGTGGAAATCCGCTTTTCCTGTTTTTACCAAAAAATCAAAAGGGATTGATACCCATTGATATCAAATTCTGGAACTGATTAGATATGTTTTACACAAATTATCACACTACAACAGACAAACAGAGAAATGCCATTAAGTGCAGGACCTCATTTCACATGACCAACTATTTTAAAATTTCACTCATAGTCCAGTTAACTATAAAGGATTAAACAAGATTATATTCACAGTGGCTTGTATCCAAGATTACAAAAAAAAAAATGTATGATTTACAACTGAGACTATGTAACCTTAACCATACCATGACAGACAGGCTTAACTCCTGCTCTCAAACTAGTATTAATGACCTTTATACCTGTTACAACAGCTATCTGTGCAGTGCCAAAATGGGGTAAAGGAAGAACACCACACTTCAGAATCAATAGAATAAAAAATATGTAAAGGTATATTAGTATTACAAATACTGCCAGCAACTACTATGAAAGAAAATTAGGATCAAACAAATCAAGCTGGACTCTTCTAACACAATGAAGTACAAAACTTACCAATTTTGAATCTAACTTGGCATCCAGTCTTGCATTTCGAATTAGATTGACAATCCATCGTTCAGCTTCTTCAGGGGTCATATTTAGTTTATCTGCCAGCATACTGATGAAAGGAAAAAAACAGACTGCTCTCAAAAGACAGAAATAATTATCACCTCTCATGTTACAGTGTAATACTTGTCATGTCAAGCACCATGGGTCACTTAACAGTGATCAGGTAAGCTGACAATTTCAGTAACAACAAGAAGTTGCAAATTAGCTAAAACATTTATCATGCGCTAAATTGTGTGTGTTTGGGAAGCATGTTTTCATTTGACTTTGAAATAATTTCATATACCACAGGTTTTGAAATAAGAGTGTAGTCGTAACTTTCTACCGTATGCACAAGCAATTACACAAAATCTAAGCAGGCGTATACTCAACCAGACGCAAGCACAGTGCTATGAATTAAACTATACTATTTTACATGTCTGTCTCTAGATAATTAATTTTCAGCATTCTGGCATGAAACTGAATTATCTAAGATTTTTATGTGCACACCAACTGGATCCAATTTATGAAATAGTGTGGAATATATTATTGTGTAGAACTAAGAAATGCTAGAACAGTTTTTTTTTTTTTTAAACTTTTAGCCATGCATCTTCCTCTCAATGGCACAAAAGTTAGAGCAGATCAAAGGCTGAATTTGCACCAGCTGCCTATGGCCCCAAAGAGCCTTCTTAGCAGCTGGGGATTGCTATAGACTAGGGATGCTCTGACCACATCGTTATGCCAGTTGCAGGGGAAGGGGTAGTGTAGGAGCTACAGCAGGTCTATGGCATATAAGCAACCTGTTACCAGGTAAATCAGTTTTGTGGCAACTCCGTCCCACAGAATGATCCAAACACACCTGAGAAGATGGCTCACAGTATGCAAAACTAACCACCAAATTATAGCCACGTTCTTAATGAAGAGGACCTCTTCTTTAGGAGACAATCAACATATAGTAGCAAAGAGAGTGAACCTGAACAATTTGAAAATCTTGATTGGCTTGTGAGGTTTCTGATTGACAGCAATCAAATATTGCATATGACAGAGTGTGTGCAATGCAAAAATAATCTAAACAGTAAATTCAACAAAAATACAGAAATACCTACCACCAACCCTGCCTCCTCAAAGAAATAAAATAATGATTTTTAACTGATTAAGACACACGCAGGGCTAAGACTCCCTTGCTTTATGGTTCCCTCACTCATACCATTCAGGACACAGTCAACTGTACTCAGGAATAGAAATAAATACACAGGAAAAATGTATAGCAGACTGCCCCATACAACCAACTCAACACTTACTGACATGCTACGATTACTGCCATCACATTCACTGTAAGTTGAAAGCCCCTAAGTTTGACACTTTAGAAGCCAAGAATGATACATGCTGTAATAAATAATTTAATATACTATTTCAAATCTGATTTTACATTTCACACGCTTAGTCATCCATATGTCATTTCAAAAATGGAAAAGGTTCAATGTTGATGAACAGTTACAAAATTTTATTATATCATGACTATATATTCCAGAAACCAAAGGTATTAAATAAGATTAGGCGCCTAAGTAATCTCACCACAACATAAAACGGCAACTAACACTATAAAGAGACCATCTGAGCTGCTTTTCCTTTTCTTGAAGGCTGGCTGGATTTAAATACAGTTTAGATAATTGGTTCAGGGAAGTGTTTCACATTAACTCAATTAGCAATAAAGCACCACACAGCTGGCAGTTCACTTTGATGTGCTGTGTCATGACACTTGTTCCTGAACTTCAGAGGGTTTCTGATATAGATTTGTGACAATTACATCACCCTCTTGAGGATGATACACTTTATGCCCAGATTTCTTGCAATTTCTCATTCTTCAAGGAAAAACACAAGTGGGGATGTGTCTCATTTTATTTAATGGAACAGGCGCTGTTTTGACCAGCCATAATTCCTGCAGCTGGTGTTTCCTGTGGCTTTCCAATAAACTCCCTGCATTTCCTGCTGGAGCTTGACTCATTTTGAAGGCTTATAAATCTCATGCTTCTATCAGTTTCCAGACTTGGCTAATGTCTGGTGCTTTTACCTGACGCTTCTGACCTAAAAGCAAATGGTAGCAAAATTATAGAACAGGGCCCCTCCTGGTTGTTTTACCACTTCCTGTTGCAAGCAATTCATCTTTTAATTGCCAAAAGAGTAGTCAGTAACTTTTTATGCAAGACAGTTAATAGAACTCACACTAAACATATTAACTTAAGCACAAAAGAAAAAGACAAACATGATGATGGCATTCACTTTTGACATGTAGTGTTTACAAAACTTAAGAGGGTAAAATATGCAGTGTATTAAATAACTTACTTTGGGCCACAGTAAGATAATTCATTTTTATTTAAAAAAGTTTCTGCTGTGGAACAGATCATCAATTCACACTGACTAGGTATCTGCAATGCAGATTACCAAATATTTCAAGTTAGCAAATAACTTGAATAAAATGTCAAGGATAATGCATCTCAAAGAACTTTATTTTTGTAAGTACTTGGATGGATATACTGTAGCATAGTTTAAAAGTTAGTGACATTTAGCAATAAAACCTCACTATAGCTCATATTCTGCAGACTGGAAATAACTATTAAAAATGGCACCACCATTTTCACCACTTTTTAGCAAAGGTCTAATAGCAAACAATTAAAAAGATTGTACTGCATAAGGCCCTGATTCAGGAAAGCACTTAACTTTAAGCACATGCTGAAGTCTTTTCCTGAATCAAGATCTATATGACAAGCAAACTGTGTGTACTTATTGTAATACAAGTTTCCTTATAAGGTCTCTTCTAGTCTTGGAATTACTATTTCTTTTGGAATCTCAGTCACTGTCCTAATAGAGCAAGGAAACAACCACACTTCAGTGAAATCAGGATATTTGTGCATAAAAATAAAAACAAAAACACACTTCAGACCTTATCTACTACAACTTGACACTGCTCTTTTAACAGATCAGTGCTCTTAACATGTGTGCTAGCTATCTTAGGTTTTTCTATAGCTCCCATATGCATAGTACTTAAACTATAATTTGCATTTTGCAATTCATAGAATAGATGGATTTTGCAAAAATACTGAAACAAAACCCTTTTTAAATTTGTCAATACCCAGCCCTACCCTGCTCTAAGTGCTGGTGTCAACAATAGTCAAACAAAGTGGTTTAAGTGGCACATAATATTGTATGTTTTCCAATTTTTAAACAGTACATGCCAAAAAGTAAAAAAATATTTTAAGACAAGCTCTGAGAGATTTTCCAGTATCTTAATGACACCTTAATATTTACATTCCTCAGGTAAGGTCCAGGCTTTTCAATGGAGTCTCCTGACTGATGATACATTCTGTCTGTAGCTGGCTTTACTCAGAGCAGGTGCTGTCTATCTACAGTAGGCCTACCTGCCAAAGGTCCAAAACTAAGTTTTTTTTTTTTATACTTACATGCTCAATGTTGTTCTTGCACTACTTATTTGAGACATTTACAAAATATATCTGATGTTGTCTTTTTGTTGTTGAAATATATTTGAAGGTCACATTTAAAAATTAAAGGTCAAAACGATATGTTCTTTTGAAGCCTGCTGCTAAATGTAAAAAAATTAAGTTTTCTTTAAAACACTAGCTTCAAAGTGTGCTTCAATGAGGCACATGCAGAAAAAGTTTCATTTCAAAAATGAAATGTATCTGATTACAAATCAACATTTATATTTGATTTTCCATTAACTGCGGTATGATAATAGAAAATGCATCTGACTGCAGAATGGCTGCCAAAAACATCTAATTAGTCCAAATCATTTTTAAGCTTTATATCACATTGCACTTCTAACCTTGTCCAGAGGCATTTTACATTGAACATTTTCAAATGTGATGTAAATTTGTAGTGTTCTAGTTTACAACTTTGTAGGCATCTGGCTCAGCAGCCTCTAAGAGAAAACAATTTGCAAGCTGCTCCTAAATAAACGTCTCAAGAAACCATAGTAAGTTAAATTCAGTGTTCTTAAAACATGCATACAATTCAAGCAAACAAGAAGATTTGCTAACAAAACCATATGTTCAAACTGATTTTTTTATTTAATAATTTCTCAAGACAAAAGCACAGAATTCCTGCCCAGTGGGCACACCTCAGCAGCAGTTGCAAATGCTCATTGTAAAAGGAGTGATCATGGTGAAAGACTAAGCATATTTTTAAACGTAAACTTGAAAATTAAGATTAGCAAAAGAGGTCGGTTTTATGGCTTTCCTGAATGCATGGCTAGAGCCAATAATTCTATGGTAACTGCAGAGAATAAAGGTGAAATGAAACTAAACTGACAACAATACACCTTGCTCAATAAAAGTGCCCAGAGATTCAAAGGGGGTATTTTTCTTGATGTGATCAATTGAATTAATTCACAATCATACCGCCATCCCTGCTCTAATAAAGAGCAGAACTGAAACAAAGGTGGGTTCTAGGTTATTGTTTTTAAAAGTGCCCACAGTTGCAAGTGCTAATAAAGTTATTATAGTAAGTAACCTAATACTTAGGAAACATAAATTTATATTTTCTGTATCTTTTGTATTTCAAACAAAAACTAACTTGTGCATCTCTCTAGCTAAAACAGCTTCAAGACGCAAGTCTTCAGATCATTTTGGCTAATTTAAGCATCTTACAACCTCACCTCCATTTGTTCATTTTACACTGAAGGCTTTCCCTCTATTTAAACAGTTTACAGAATTCCAGATATAGAATGAAGGATTCAAGATATTTAAAATACACAGATCAATTGAAACAGGTTTCTTTTGCAGGAAGTTTATAGTGGGGGGTGGGGCCTGGAGAGAAAATGGGGGACTAAATCACTAGTATTCAGCTCCTCTACTAAATAAAAACAGACGTTTTAAATTAACCCACTCACATTCTGAATTAATTTAATCCATTGTTCACCATTAGGCACAATGATTGCAGAATGATTTAGGAAGTAAAATTTAAGATACAACTAACAAAGTAATTGCATCCTTTGGAAATGTCAGCTGCCCAACAGATGTAAATAATAGTTAATTTTTTAAGCAAGGCATCTATTTG